GAGGAACAGACAGTGAGCCTGTCTCTCAATAATAATAATAATAATATACTGGGCGATACAGAGCATTATTGGTTGTATGTTGTATGTAAATCTATTACAATGAATTAGTATTGTAAATGTCTGTAGTTGTTGAATTAATTGTGTACACTCTGTGCAACACTGTAATCCGTCGACTATGCCAGTAAAGCTCGTTGAATTGATTTGAATGAGCTGCCCAGTCTGCTATCGCCCAACATGACTTCTTACAGAAGACAGTGCAGTGCTGCTTGTACTGTCTTACCTGTTTCTCTCTGTCTCTCGCTGCCCCTGCCCTCCTCCTCCTCCTCCTCCTCTCTGCAGTGGTACAAGCTGGACGAGCTGTTTGAGCAGGAGCGCAATGTGAGGACGGCCATGACCAACCGGGCCGGCCTGCTGGCCCTCATGCTGCACCAGACCATCCAGCACGACCCGCTGACCACTGACCTGAGGAGCAGCAAGGACCGCTGACGCAGGTCACGTGCGCACAATGATGACCCGTTTTTTTTTGTTGTTTTTTTTCAGCTAGATTTGATTTTTTTTCAATCCAGAAACGCCCTTTTAGGAATGTCCAAACCATCATTTAAGACTCATCAACCTCCCGAGCTCTCCCGGAGAGACAAGGCAATGTGGACGTGATCCCCTGTCGCGCCCATTTCCGCCATGCAGGTTGAGGTGCTGTGGGCTCCACAGCTCCCCGCGGACAGGAGAGTTTGTGCCAACTGGAGCGCAGGCACAGCTCTACATCACTGTGAGATCTCAGGCTGTGCCGTTGCCCAAGAGGACCCTGACTGACAGATTCTAGCCATGTACCTGATGGTACTTAGCCAGTGGCATGCTGCTGCTTGGTGAATCCCAGTTACAGTTGGCTAACCATGCGATGCTGACTTGGTTATAGTTGGCTAGTGACAAGATCCTTGTGTCACCTCTTGATGAATCATGGTTACAGTTGGTTAATGACGTGATCCTGGCATCACCGTTGGGTACAGTTGACTAGCCATGTGATCCTGGATTTGCTGCTTGCCGAGTACCTGTTACAGTCAGCTAGTGAAATGACCCTGGCTTCACTGCTTGGCGAATCCTGAGTACAGTCCGTTAGCCACGCAATATTAGTGTTATTGCTGGTGAATCTCGGTTACAGTGGGCTAGCCGTGCGATCCCGGCTTCACTGCTTTGTGAAACCTGGTTACAGTCGTCTGGCGATGTGATCCTGACTTTTCACCCCATTTGGCGAATCCCAGAGCAAAACCTGGAAATCGCCTTCCATAGCGGACCCACCTGGGAGTCCCTGGGACGCACTGATCACATGCCACCCATCCCGGGCGCCTGCCTTCCACACTGCGGAGCCACCGTAACCCAAAACGTCATAGAGTCCCACACCTCGTGCCCTGATCTGCGGAGCCAAGTGAACGGAGAGTCCAAACTTCCGCTGGGTGGGCCACCAGATTCCAACAGGACTTCAGTCACAATCCCTGCGGAGGCAGTGGATTCCGGAGAAACCTGGGCTTTGGAATCGGAGGTCGCCAGTCAGTCTGCACAGCTGGACCGACAGAGAGGAAAAACCTGACGTTTGTGTTTCTCCTGTTATTCCCTGCAGAGGTCAGAGGAGAATTCCTGGTTGAAGATCCACAGCACAGCTGGGAGAAGAGGAGGGATGCTCCTGATTAATCACACTTGTACACAGAGCCGCAGCATTGAAATGGTCCATATTGAAATTTCTCATCGACATGCATTACCTTTCAGTTTTTGTAATCTGTTTTCTTCATGTCTACCCCCCCTTCCCCGTCTCTCTTCTTCTCAGGCCGTTTACTTTTTGTCTTCCCTTTTTTTAATTTTTGGAATACATTAAAAAAAAAAGTTTGAAAAAATGATTTATTTTCTGGAGTTTTATTCGGTGTGTTAACCCACGTTGATTGCGACGCAGACGTCGCACTCACTCACGCAGAGTTGCAGAGGTGGTCGCTGTGTGATTTCTCTAGACAGCTCCCTGAGCTACCAGAGCAATTGTGTTTGCTTCCACCTTACCTTGTTTTTCAGTTTACCAGCCCTGTTCAGTTACTGAGGCCTGGGGGGTGACATCAGGGTACCTGGTTCGTAAAATATTTAGAGTTTAATGTTGAACCCTGTTTTATAAATATCCAGATCTTGCGGTGTCTTTCAGATGACTGATTTCTGAGTCCTAGGCTGAATTCCCAGGGGAGTGTTCTGGGTATCTAGAGACCTGCTGGTTACATTTGGGTGATTTTTGCCGAACTCAGGAGATCAGTGTTTCTGACTTCTCATCTTTTGCCCGGTAGGGGGCAGTGTGAGACCACAAGGGAAAAGACACTTTACCCCAACCCAACTTCATGGGCAGCTACCTAATACAGCTGTCCTGGTCAGGGTGACCCTGCCTTGCTCCCGTTGCTTGCTGGGATAGACTCCGGCTCCCCATGACCCTGTACTGGATACGGTCTCTCTGAACTGGGACTAGTCTTTCTGAGTTGCTGTGAAACCATTGTATGACCCCCAGCTATTCTCTGGGTCTCCTATCACTAGGAGAACCTTTCTAAGTGCGATGATGAAACTCCGCTCATTCGTGCTCGGTTGAACGTTACCATTTGGAACAGATTATTCGTGGGGTCAAAAGGTCATGAAGAGTCAGGAAGTTAAATGAGACGGCCTTACTGAGTGATCATGGCTGCTATGCAAGACAGTGGCTGTTTAGTCAAGAATCTTGTCTGGTTTACAAAGTGTGATGAAAATCCCCTTTCCAATCAGCTGGCCCTCTTCCTGCACTCAGTTGCTTCATCAATATTTAGCCGTTTTAAAAAAAAGTTTAGTTTATCCCTCCATCCATTTTCTAACCACTTTATCCAACTCGGGGTCATAGGGCAGCCAGAGTCTATCCCAGCAAGCACTGGGCACAAAGCTATGTTAACCCTGGACAGGACACCAGTCCATCACAGGACACACAGACGCACAGCACAGCCAGTTTCCCCAGAAACCAATTCAGCTACCAGTATGTCTCTGGACTGTGGGAGGAAACTGGAGCACCAGGAGAAATGTTTCTTTATATACTTGCCAATTATTGTTGATTATTACAGCACATGCAGAATGTTATTTTTTTAAACGATTTACAGTAATGTGTGTTGGACAAACATTGCACACTGGTTTTGTTGGTGTTTTTAATTATTCCTGCAGGTAAATGCGCACAGATTAATGACTATTGATGTTCTCGGATTAATAAAACTATTGCGTTTGTACTATTTGTATTTCAGGCTGGTCCTTTTAAATAGATTTTAAATTTTAAATTTAAATTTGCGGATGGGCTTCCTTTGTATGTTTAGTTGTTTAGCAATTTTTTTAGTTTACAAACCTTTACAAACTTATGTAATAAATGTGTATCTAAATAAAAGCTGGATCACATTTCAAGTTGTGTGGGAAACAGTAATTTAATTTAAAAGACTTGACACTTATATTAGTGACTTTTAAATCAATATAAACTGATGGAAAAAAGAAACGCAACATTTTCTGGAATGTGAATACTATAGTTATTGTTCCATTCCAGGGCTTTTTTACTTTAAAAATTTTCATTTTTTTAATTCAATAAGACTAATCCATTGCTACATGTTTCAAATTAATATCATTCTAACTACTGTAGTTAATGTATTGAGTTTCTTACACAAGCAAATGCGATATGGAAACAAAAAGTCTCAGTTAAGATGTGACTAAGTGTGAGATTGTAAGATTAAGTGTGAACATATAATGAACACCCTGTTGTAACTGCTACACTGCGCTGTACACAAAGCCACTGAAGGGCGGAGCAGTGGCTCTGTGGCTGAGGATCTGTGTCTGTGGCAGGAAGGTTATCAGTTCAAATCCCAGCTGCTCCAGGGGCGCTGTACAACAGCTGATCCTGCGCTCTGACCCCCAACTGCTCTCCCTGTCTGTGTGTCTCCTGGAGAGCAAGCTGGGGTCTGTGAAAAGACAAATTCCTAATGCAAGAAATTGTATAGGGCCAATAAAGTGGTTATGTTATGTTATGAACAGAAGAACTGTTACACAAGAAGAGAGAGGAGGCCTGTCTAGTCCGTATGGTGGTCAAGGATTTCCCTGTGGACACCCGTTGGACTGTTTGCCCCGGACACCCCCCCCCCTGGACACCAGCACACCATGGACACGCCCCCTGTTTTCCTTCCAGCCCCTTTGCATGCTTTTTTCCCCGTGTTTTCCTGACTCCTCCCCGGATTGTGCTGTCTGCATAGGGTCCTGAACGTACGCTTCCTGACAGCTCCCCTGCGACCCTGTAGCTGATACAGCAGTTAAGTAAATGGGCAGGCGGTATCACGGAGATTTCTGTAGGCTGGAATCGCACGTGTCACAAAGCGCATACTCACATACTTCCAAAGCAACACGTGGCGATTTCCCCGGTGCACTGTGCACTTATGTTGGAAGCGAGTTACTTGTAGGAAAATATTTTGAAGCGCCTGCATTCTTTGGGGCTTAAATCATTTGCTCCTCTTGTAGCAGCAGAGCACTACAACAAACCAATTGTTTCTCCTGTGAGCCGTGGCCAAATGTCAACGTAACCAACAAAGTCAGTGTCTACAAGACAGCGCGGGGTTTACACAAGAGTATAAGCTGCTTCATAGAAGACAGAGCGCTTACAAGAGCACAAGAGTTTGAACAGAGGAAAGGACGCAGACGAGAGGGGCTGTTCTACCCACCTGGCCTGTCTGGCAGTTCAGTAGCTAGCTGATTCCAGGGTCTCATCCAGCTGTTTACCCCGAAGAAAGACACCAGGGTATCGGCTTCAACGGCCTGGCTGGGCCGAAACATTGCGCCTCTTCTCTTTTCCTTCCAGCGTGGAATGAGCCCGTTCCTTCACAGCTCCCTGCTGGGGCCTGTCTGGACGGCCGCCCCCTCTCTTGCACAATCGGGCCCCTTGTAGTCTGCTCTGTCCGAGACCAGTGAGACCAGTGAGACCGGCTACTTTTAGGCTGTGAGTTTGACTCCAGTCTCGTCAGTGGGGAGGCTGACAGTTTGTTTTGCACGTTTTTGGGGCTGTTAATGTGCGCCGTGATCGCGCCGCAGCTTCGCCACCGAACCGAGCTGGAAGACGCAGGGATCTCACCCCTCGGCTGGATCTTGTGGGCAAAGGTTGTTGCGTTAGACCTTGCTGTGCTGCACACCATATGGCTAGTACTGGGGTTAAAAAGAGAACAGTCTGCTGCCGGGGGGGGGGTATTTTTACCAGCTTCTGTTAAACGTGTTAAAGACGATAGGGGATAAATTCCAGACAGAGATCTGAGAATCAGAATGGAGGACGTCCCAGAAAAAACAGGGACCTGAGGTAGCCCTGCAAATACACACAATATATTTCTCATTTCCCAGCACAAACATGCATTTCTGGACCAGGGTTACTGGGGCCCAGTTACGCTGTTGAGTAACACACAGCAGGTACCCAGTAACTGAGATAATTACTCATCAGACGCAGCGTCAATTTAGTTTAAAGGCCTTGCAGTTCTTTGAAGGTCGCGGGCGAGATGGGCGGTTTGGTGCTCCAGGGCGCCGGGGTGAATACGGCCCCATCTCGAAAGCCAGGAGGACGGGACCCCCAAGTGACGGCCTCGCCTCCGTACTGATCCCGAACTCCGAGTTCCGGAATTCCGGAATGTCGCCTGGTCTGCAGGCAGGCAGCGAGACGCGCTGTGGTGATTACCTGCTGTATTCGGACCCAGGGTTGAAGCGGATTGGATGGGACCCAGGGGAACCCACCAACCACTCACCGAGCCAGCGGGGCGCACACAGGCGTTTCAGCCAAGCGGGAACAAAGGTTACGAATAAAAAACCCCGACATCTTTCTGGTGTCTTCAAAGCTACGGCGTCGAAGAGGGGAACAGGGAGCTTCTCCGCCCTGGGGGCGTGAACTTTTTGTGGGTTTCTTTTTTTTTAAAAAACAACAACAACAACAACAACAACAACAACACAGATGCTTCGCCGTACGGCGCGCAAATATGTTTTTGTGTGCGCGCGTTCCCCAGCGACGTCTGCTCCACGGTCGCTGCACGTGCTCCAGCTCCTCGCCGGGGGGGGGGTTGGAGAAAGAGCGGCAGCACGCGCAGCCAGCCCCGCGCTGAATCCTCGGAGCTGAATCCCCGCACGGCTCGTGCTGCACAGAGGAGCCTCTCCGCCCAGCGGAAGCTGCGGGGCTCCAGGAAGAGGAGGGGGGAGCTGGGAGGTGAGGCAGCTGGTGGGGGTTCATCGGGTAGCGCGGCTCAGGAGCAGCCTGCGAGGGCTGAGACAGGCACCCCCGCCCGGCGGGACAAGGAGGAGCAGACGGATCGAGAGAGCAGCCTGCGTGCAGCCCCGCACCGGGAGACCGCAGCCAGAGAGGCGCGAACCGAGTCGAGCAGAGAGGACGTCCAATTCAAAGACGAGCCACGGGCGGGCGTCCCACTCGATTTCAGCCGGCCCCCGGTTGTCTGAAAGCATTCACAAGGCCCATGCGTGTCTTTCAGATTGGATTCCCTCCGCCGTCACGACCAGGAATGCCACTAACTCTGTATTCACGAATAATCAGCCCGAGGTAGCGCTCTGTTTTCCACCTACCGATCTCTGCATATTGCCACGCTCATATTCGGTCTTCCGCGTATAAAATAAGCCACATGATTTAATCGAGTGCAGGCGGGCTCGACATTTTAACATCGGCTGAAGAGGAAACGTCTTTCCCCCGAGAGTGGACGCTGAGCAGGTGATGTACCTGAGTCCAGGTGCACACCAGGGAGAACCCGGCACGATGCCGGGGGGAGACCCCGATCGGACAGCCCCTGGAATCCTAGCGTCTGGACTCCCGCTGTATAGGGAGCTGGGAAAGGTGTCGAAGTCC